GTACTGCGATCACAAGATATCGCATGAATATCATACTTGGAAGTCATCCACCAGTTGTAGAAGAGGTCGAGATGGATCAACAGGCTTAGTGCCTACTGGTTCCATGCAGACATTGGCAAAACTAATGACCACACATATTCAACTGGTCAGCCAATACTGCCACATCTGAGGTAGGGATAGGCCAACAGGTTTAATGACTACTGATCCTATATGTACCCTGTCTTCCTTAATTAATTCTCAATATATAGTAAGTATTCTCATGATAAACTTATTCAACAGTCCAGCTTCTACTACTTCACTTTCCACAAAAGATATATTGCAAAAGGTCCAATGCGTTAGAAATTGAAGAATTTAGATGGGTCATAATTTCATAATTTGGCTATTGGACTTATAGAATCTAGAGACGTACATAAACTTACGATAACTTTAAGATCAGTACAGAGATATGATTGGACTGTTAATATTGACGTGGACAGATTTGTAGCTATTAAAGCGATCAACTTATATAAACATTACTAGCTCAGAATCCAACTAATATCTCTAGCCGATATCAGAAATATACAAAAGTATTTATGTTCCGGATTCTTAATGGATTGGATGTATTACTCCATGAAGATTGTTGTTCAAAACGTTTGGGAGTAGGATTCATCGAAAGGCATACAAATTAATGAAGAAAGATTTCTGGTATGCTTTCTGAACGCAATAAAAGAAAACCAGTTTTGAACCGAAACATTACTAATAATGATACATTTATCCATTTTGATAATCCGGAGGGAAAGCCAAATATTCGTGCCCTTATGGTAATTCCCTGTATTTAGTGTTTTCAAAAGAGTTTTTTATATTATAATCCGCTAAAATCTGATCAGATTATCACGGGGAAAAATTTAACTGATTCATTTGAACCAAGCCTTGGTCGGAAAATACCCAGAATATGCTGCTATACATGTTGCATTACAGGTTAAAAATTATTTAGAAGTGGTTGGGGCATAAATGATGTTGGATATCAAGTAAAAGTCTGATTGGTCCAAATCTAGCTGGGCCCAGTACCTATCTTATAAATCATCACTCATCTCAAGTGAGTGCAGACCGCATATCCCACTAAATGAATCCAATTGATACAAAGCATTCCTTGTCCCGGTGATATTGACACACAATAAGAACGTATTGCCCGCTCACTAGAGAATGCTTCTACATCTGGTATGTCCAAGAATAATACCGTAACGCTGCTGGGAGAGAAGAACGATGGTTACATTGCATTACAGTTATCAGAGGTAACACGAGCTGCGAAGGAGACATACCAGGAGAAAAGGTGAAAAAGGAGAAAGATGGAAATACGTGAGTGTGAGGAAGTTGAAATAAACAGGAGTAGAGATGAGATACGGAAATTCTACTAAAGAGTCAAACATGAAACGGAAGGGTTCAGTGGAAGTAGAGAAGGAAATGGGAACCTCGTAATGGGTAGATCCGGTTTGCTGAACATATGGAAATAACATTTTTCAAGACAATTGCTATCTGATGATGGTGTCGTTAGTACGTTCGAACGGATAATGGATGACAATATGGGGTGTACAGCACCCAGCCAAGATGATATCAAATTGGTGATATCTAGACTTAAAAACAATAAAGCTGCGAAAGCAGATGGCTTGAAAGGCGGAACTATTTAAAGTTGGAGGAGATAAGTTACTTGGTTACATGAATACCCTAATTGATGAAATTAACGCATGTCCGAAGACTCGAACCTCTGCTAACTGTGTGATGTGTGTTAATAGGGGCGACAAGACCATATGCTCCAAGTACAGAGGTATAAGTCTCCTTCCTATCGGACACAAGGTCTGTCAAGCCTGATGTGTGAGATTAAATGCTAAAGTCAACGTGGCTTTAGACCTGGAAAGTCGACTACAGAGCAACAAATCCTAGAAAAGTCTCAGGAAAAGCAAATTGGCATATGCCTTCTTTTTGTTGATTATAAGGCAGCTTTTGACAGTCCGATACAAGCAAACGTTTTCGAAACTATATTACAGTTATGTAAGTTGGTAAGACTATGCAGAACAGCTAAAATTGGAAATAAACATGGAACCAATCGACGATTCAGACAAGGTGCTAGTCTATCATGAGGCCTTTTTAACATACTGTTAGGAAAGTTACTACGCAATGCTGCTGTGAATAACACAGACAGAATTTATTTAAGAAACCACATGATTCTCACATATTCAGAGGACATCGATATTATTGGTCGAACATTGCGGGAGGTAACTGCAGTCTTTACGAGAATCGAGAGAGAATCAGATAAAGTGAGTTTGGCAGTGAAGGAAAGTTAAACAAAGTTAATGTTTTCAACAAATAGAGAACACATAAGACTGGGTCAATATATAAATGTTGGTGACTATAACTTCCAGGTTGTGGAGGAATTTATATGTATACCTCGGTACCATCATAACTAAAACCATTGATAACTGTATTGAGATAAAGCGAAGAATAATACTTGCTAATAGCAATTATGGCGCTGAAGCATGGAGGATCCAGCTCAAGCGTTTGGGGGGAGAAATTTTGTTTTTTTACTTATATATTTTTTTTCTTCATTTTTATATTTTGTATGAAAAGTTTTCGGTTTTGGGGTAGATTTCCCTCATTACCAACCCCCCCATGGATCCGCGCCTGCCTCCAAAGGATATATGGCCCTGTTTGTATTAATGGAGAATACCGATATCGAATGAACATTGAACTGTATAAACTATATGATGACGAGAACATAGTCAAACGCATCAAATTACAGCGATTACAATGGCACGGGCATGTTGTGCGAATGGATGACAATGATCCGGTAAGAAAATCTTTTGAACATTTCCCCGAGGAAAAACGCAGAAGGTGGTGATGGAAAGCTCAATTAGAGGAGCATCTATGCGAACTTGGTATGCGAAATTGGAGAAGAAATGAAGATCGAAGCGAATGAAAATCTGTGTTACGTATGGCTTAAGATCCAAATTGATTGTATATATCTATATATATAAAAATGAGTGTGTGTTTGTTTGTATTTTAATATGTTTGTATGTTTGAGCGCTATAGACTACTAAACGTGGGCGAGAAGCCACTCCCATAATAAAATCCGTATATTTGAGATAATATAACAGTTAGAGTCCTCAAATTTTGTCGGAGCCACTTTAGTGTCAATGTGATTATTTAAAACAAAAAGTAGGCGGACAAGAATTAAGGGGCGTGGCACCTCCCATATAAATTAAATACAAAAATTCGTTTATCTTGGAAATTATAATAGTTAGAATATTAAAATTTTGCACGAATAACTTTAACATCCATTTAAACATTTTGGGTAATAAATTGGCGGACTACCCATAAGGGGAGCGGAACCTCCCATATTAATTAAATACAAAAATTCGTTTATCTGGGAAACTAATGGAACTAAATTCTTCAAATTTTGCACGAAGAACTTAAACATTCATCTGAACATTTTGGAGGAAAAAAGGGCGGACTTTCATCTGGGGGGACTTGAAGCCCCAATATGAATTAAATATAAAAATTCGTATATCTGAGAAACTATTAGAAATAGGAACTTGAAATTTTACTTGAAGAATTTTGACATTCATCTGAACATTAGGGTGTAAAGGGCGGACTTTCAATGGGGGACTTGGCACCTCCCATATGAATTAAATACCCGTTTAGTTTACTGCCTTCAAGTTTAGCTTACTGCCATCCCGAAAGACCTAGTATTTTCGAGTGAAATAAAAACCATTTAAAATTTAATTCTTAAATTAAGATAATTTTATTTCTTTGTTTTAATTCTTTTTAATTCAAATAATTTTTAATTACATTATCATCGCTTTTCATATATCATTCATTGTCTTTTTAATTGCAGACAATTTGAGTACAATTTTTATATGGAATTATTAAATAAATTTACTTTAAGTATGATTTTTTTCTGTTTTCTTTTTTTACTTAGAATAATTAATAATAATAAAAAATAATTAAAAAAACTAAACTATTAAAATAAAAGAAAAAAAGAAATTAATATTTAAAAATTCGTTAGTTATAAAAAATTTTGTAGATTTTTTGTAGGCAAGAAATTAAAAGCTTTTTTTGTCATAAAAGGAATGTTTTAAAATTTTAACTTAAATTAATTTTTGTTTTTTTTTCTATTATTAATAATTATAATACAATAATTTTGGTTTTAAATAAGCTAAGTAGAGTTATTATATTAAATTTAATAGTTAATTATTTTTATATTTTAAATTTAAGTTTTTATTAAAGTACTTATGATTTTCGGGGTGTTTTTTTTTAAAGAATTTTTTATACAATTGCAAAATTTTTTTTTTGTTAAATAGTTTATAGTTTAATATTTACAATTTAGGTTTATTTTTTATAATTTTTGTTTTTTTAAGGAATTATAATAAAGAAATTAATTTCAAATATTGAAATTTTTAGTGAGAAAAAACAATTTTGTCTTCAAAAGACATTTTTTTAAAGAAAAATTTTATTAAAATTATTTAAAAAAAAATCATGATATTATGTAACAAAATCATTTGTGTTAATTTAACATTTAAAATGTTTATTTTAAGAGGAATTGTTTATTAAAAATGAAAATTTTATAAGAAATAAAAGAAAAAGTGCAATTTTTATCGCAAAAGGGGCAAAAAATGTTGCCCTTTTTGAGATGATTTTTATTACAGACAAAAAATTTTGCCCTTTTTGAGATGATTTTTATTACAGACAAAAAAGTTTGCCCTTTTTGCGCTAATTTTCTAAACAGGCAAGAAAATGTTGCCCTTTTTGCGCTAATTTTCTTAACAGACCAAAAATGTTGCCCTTTTTGAGTAAATTCTCAAAAAATGTTGCCCCTGTTTTACATATTTCCAGACAAATAAAACTTTTTAATTAAACACTTTTTCTTTACAAAAATTTTCTTTAAATTTAATAAAATAAATAGTTAATAACTTTTGTTTAAATCTTTAATTTAAATTAAATTCGTGTGACTGTTTATTATATTTCATCCCTTTAAACTTAATTAATGTCTATAATTATCCTCCATACGATTACGTTTTCTTTGCACTGGATTTTCACCAATATCCAGACTTTCATTATCACTATCCATGGGTTCACTGCAATCGTCACCATTGTCGCCACCCATATCATCCTGTTTACGTTTAGCGGTGGCCATTTCAGCAGCATGACGTTTACGCCATTTGGTGCGGCGATTTTGAAACCAAACCTATAATTATAAACAAAAACAAAAAAAATTAATAAAAATTTAAAAAAAAAATTAATTGTTTTCTAAAGTAATTAAAAGGAAAATTTCCAAGTGAAAAAGTCCTTAAATTAGAAAAACTAAAAACACACATGTTACTTTCTAAACGGATGTGTTATGGTCAGAGTAGTATGACACATCCCCTGGAAATTACTTGAAATCTCATCAACGCCGCTTAACCCTCAATTAAGAGCATATAAAATCATTTTAAGCTTTAACTATACACTTCCCATCAACAAATTTCTTTGGCACTACTGTTGGCCATGACTAATATGGTTAGCTAAGCTTTTGTTATTCCTTCTAGCAAATATTGTAGCAAAAATCTGGCTTTTTTTGCTATGGTAACACATGTTGCCAGCACCACTAACAAGCTGTTAGTGGTGCTTTAAAAGAATACAAAAAAATAAGCACGTTTTTTGTTAAATCACAACAACATATGAAAGCTTATAGGCTTAATACATAGTATGTATGAAACAATTCATTCAATCTTTATAAAATCTTTCAAGAGTTTTTCATGAGTCATGTGTATGTAAGTTGAATTCATGCTTTCATTCATTCAACATCATCAATTTGTTGGGGATTTATATACATATGTATGTTGCTGTTGCTGTTAGGTCATTAACACACTTTTCCTTACAAATGACTACAATGATGATGATGATGATTATTTGAATCTTCCTTTTCTTTTTTAGTCAAATTTAAAGTTTTTTTGTAAAAAAATGAAATTTTAAATTAAAAATAAATTTACTACCATAAACTAATAATGATCATTAATTTTTAAATGAAATTAGTCTGGTAAATGACTTCTTCGTTAAACTAAGTTTAAGTAAACTAAGTTTAATTAAATTATTAGCTAGAATTTAACTTGAAATGAGAAAGCTATTACTTTAAAGTTTGAAGCCTTAATTTGGTCTTAGAAAGCTTTTAATTTTCTTAAACTAAGTTTAAATATAACTAAATAAAACTAAGATTAAACTAAGTTTAACTAAAGCTTCAAACAGATGCTTAGTTAAACTATCGCTCAAATGAACAGCTGATAAGCTTAAATCTGAGATCGTGTAAGACTCAAAGAGAGCCTTAAATGAGTACTTCTCTCATGATAAGCTTTGCATCATATTGTTACCAGACCACTCGTAGATAATCGGCAATCAAAGAACGAATGTTCTAGCTATAAAGGGAAATATGCTTGAGGAAGTTAATCTTGAAGAATACAAAGTCGTTCGAGGCAACGAATTAAAAATATGATCCAGAGAATCGTTTTCGGACTTGGTATAATGAGACGATGTATAGGACCACTAAAATCCTATGAGATGATCCAACGCCTGGAGGATGGGAAGCTTCCGCAGAATGAATCAAGTTCGATGACATAAAGCTTTAAGAGTAAGACTATATAAAGTTAGACGTAAGGATTCACTTTGTATAATAGACCGATGTATAGGGCCACTATGAAGAGATCCAATATCTTTACGACGGGAAGCCTTCTGAGAATACGTTTACAAGCAGGGAATACTGAATTGAACTACGTTCAGAAAACTGGACACAGCTTTAAGAGCAAAACTATATACAATTGGACGAAAAGATTCAGTTGTACTTTGTATAATAGACTATTGGATAGGACCACTATGGAGTGATCCAATGACCTTAGGATGGCAAGCCTTCTAAGAAGAGGTTTACAAGTTAAACTATACAAATATGAACGAAGGGATTCAGGCGAATGTAGGGCATGCGGAGAGGAAAGTAAAACTGTCAAACATTATCAGGCTTTTATCAAAATTAGATCTTAATATCTGAGAAGCGACTTGGAGCAGCAAGCAAAACTATATAGAATTGGACGAAAGGATTAATTTATACTTTGTAGAACGGTGGATAGGATCACTATGGAGTGATCCAAGGACTTTAAGACGGCTTCCCGTTCTGATAATAGGTTTACAAACAAAAACTATACAAATTTGGACGAAGGTTTTCAAGCACAAGTAAAACTGTGAAACATTATTAGGCTTTTTTCAAAATTAGATCTAAATATCTGAGAAGCGACTTGGAGTAGCACGTAATACTGAGCTGAACTCCGTTTAGGAAACTGAACACACAGCTTATCGACAATTAGAAAAGTTTGGAAAACAAACTTTTCAAACCAAGACCTGAATTGCGACATGAAATATGAAGAACAATTTGCTCGTTATCGTCTAAAAGTCTTAAAGGCGGACTGGGCGATTACTGTTGTTTGATTTTCATCTTCGTCAGTCTTCTGACTTGTACTAATCCAAGTTGTGCCTTGTCCGCATTAACCGCGAGCTTTAATTTTACCTCAAAGTTAGGTTATGTTTTGATTTGTGGAGACTGATGGGGACCACTAAAACTCAACTAAAATCTAAGTTTTAAAAGTTTTGTATGAAAATATAGGGAGAATACTCTGGTATCCAAGACCCGGAACATATTTTATGAGAAATTTTGATTGGCGATAGGGGTTGAATACTCGATTTTTCTTCGGATGACTATTTGAAATTATTAATCAATTGGATTATAAGTTGGCTTCATATATTTCATCACTTAATGATCATTTAAGTGACCAAATGATGATTGATTTCCCTGTGTGGTAAATAAATGACTTCTCTTGGCCTTAAAAAATATCTTAAGTGTCAAATAATTTTGGAATAAATTGACTATATACTTCCAAAACCGTTAAAATGTTCCTGTCAACAAAAGAATTAAATACATGTTAAGCTTTTTTACTCGCCTCGCAGCAATAATCTCAACCGGTTGCAAAGTAAGGGAAGTGACTAAAAGAAGATCTTATTTGGGTAACAAGATCGATTTCCAAAGTTCCATTTATTCTCTTTGAAGATTAAATAACTATTTCCTCAAACATCGAAATGTTTCTTAAAGTGACTACATATTGGATTACTTAGAGCTACAAAAATAACAACTAACCACTCGTTAAATTACCTGACTACTGTATGGTAAACAATGTACTTCTTTACGATAAAAAGTATATAACTGTCAAATAATTAGGAAAAGAAATAAAATGACTACTTCCCAAACCGTTGGCATGTTTCTGTAAACAAATGAACTAAGTGGGTGTTAAGCTTTTTTTACTCTCCTCACAACAATACACTCCAACTTATGAACAAATTAAACAAGTACATTTTTTGTCCTGAGATACATACATTTTCCAAGCAACATTATTATGTTACATTTGTTGGCCTTGTTAGGCAAATGCTGTTTCATGATATGCTGATACACTACTCAGCCCCCACCCCGGTCGCTAGCAAAACTCTAGACAAAAGTTAGACACAGCTGTTGCCTTAAAATAATGACCATGAAAAGCATCCTTAATGATGCCAAGTAATGGTCTTTATAATGAATCTCTTTTGCCACTTTATATTGTATATATATTTTTTTTTGCTCACAGATAACGAGTGAGTAGTGATTTTTTTTTTTGCCTCGAGAAAATGTTTTGGGTAAATATTTAAACAGGCTTAAAAATGTTAGAAGGTAGAGAGACAGACAGACAGACACATATACATAGAAGAAAGGAAGATGTTAGCAATTTGTTTAAAGAACAGTTTATTGTGAAGAGAGAGTTGATTTTACTGGAATATGTTGTTCATCTGAAATTGGTCAAGAAGTACTTACATATATGGTCAAAGTTTTATGTTTAACAGACATTAAAACATGTTTTAATTATATTTTTATGAGACATTGTAATTGGTGTATGTAAACGGGTTTTGTATTATAAACAAATACTCACACTGAGTACCCCATTATCTTATAATAATAAGGATACAGTTACAGCATATGTTCTAAAAAGGGGGTCCCTTTAAAAAGAATTTTGCTTAAAGATAATGTTTATATACATATTTAGGCTTAAGAATATTTGGCTATTTAAGCTATAGCTATAGAATTCCTGCCTTCGAGGTATATTTTTTGCAATAATTATTTTAAAGGGACACCCTTTTTTTTTGCTATAGTAGTCATTATAGTTACCCAAATGTGCAAATGAAGTTGTAAATTATGCTTTATTTTCATATGGTAATTAGTAACAAACAAATAATATATCTTAAGCAAAAAAAGCTTTATAGAGATTTTATTTAAATAAAAATTAATCATTTAAAATATTTTTTAACACTTTTTTTAAAATCATGAAATCTCTTATTCTTAGAACAATTATTTAAAAATCTATAATTTCTTTTTTCATAACTCAGCTTTAAGTAAAATTTTATAGTTAAATTTTTATAGTTATAGTTAAAATTTTTAAGATTTCAAAAAAATTAGTTTTTAATTCTCTTATTTATAAATTTGTATTGACCACAAAATAACATTTTTGTTAGACACATTTCACCATAAAAATCTCATAAATCATGTTGAAGATATAGTTGAAGACACAAAAAAAAACGTTTAAATATAAAAAAACCCGAATATAAACCGATAAGAAACCATCAAATTATGCTATAAATTTAATTTATGGTTTGAAATTTAACACACACAAATACTTTTACATAAAAGACCAACTAACCCAACAAACATTAGGATATACATTAGAGGAAATTGTTAGATCCTTAGGCCCCAGTTTCTTAAGTAACAGATGAAAGATATAGAACGACCAAAGGCGGTTATATGTCACTACATTATTGTATACTAGACATATTCGACGATACCGATCGAATTCGGGAGTCTGAAATGGTCGAAAATTGTGAAACATTGACCTCAAATAGAAAATCATGGTAAGATGGAATATTAGTTATAATAAGAGTGGGAATCTTTTGCTACATGGACGGCTCTAAACTGGATATCTGTATCTATATTGGAATGAAGAAACACAAATAGATTAACAGCTTCCACATCCTATCAAAAGCTTGTAAAGTCCGTGTTATTACTGGAGAAAAGTAAAGTCTAGGACAGTATTAGTAAGACAGCCAGAATCTAAATTTCTCCTTTTAACATCATGGAGCTTGAAGATGTCAATC